AAAAAAAAAAAAAAAAAAAAAAAGAAAACAGAAAAAAGAATGAGAAGCAAACTCTTAAAAGCAAACATTCTGGTAATTATATATTTTGATGTCATCTCAAATTTATGACTTATTTGTAAACATGAATACATAAAATCAGCTCATATATCAGTCTCAGAGGAAATCTTTAAGCCCAAGATGAATCATTTTTCTCACTCTATTCCAGGGCAGTCAAATGGTTAATAAGTTGCTTAGGATCAGATCAGTGATTCAACAAGGAAAAGGGCAGATGCTCACAGTGTTCCTTCTTCTTTCTCCTCCACCACTACTTTCCCCAGGATAAGATCACAAGTGGATCTTAACTTCAGGAAGCAAAGTAGCTAAAAGGTTTATTTGAAAAGGGTTTAAACACTAAACAATCAGAGTATCTGGTATGGAGAATGATAAAGGGCCAAGAGAAAGAAAAACAGAATGGTCAAGACTGTCTTTGTCCACATACATGTTAAAGAAACAATAAATTTAAAAAATAGTTTTTAAAGACAATGACAGTAGTTCAGAGCAAAAACCAAAAGAGGAGGAATGAAAAGTTCTTAAATGCTTAGCTTTAAACATGGAAGAATACCAAGTTCTATGCTATATAACAGCCAGAATATTTAAATGTTCCAATTAACTAGTATGATCATAAGGCAAATCATGATAAAATTTCCCATTTGTAAAAACCGCTGAGATATATTCCATCTAAACTTCCTTACTTTAGGATTTAGCTAGAAGTGAAAACATCCATTGAATTGTACTATGTTTCAAAATAACGAAAAAGAAAGTTTTGAGATTCTTCCATGACAGATGGAATTGATTTATAAAGTCTCTAGGCTTAAATATTCCCTTGCTTGAGAACATAGCTACATTGAGAAGAGGTGGGTCACGGTTAACACATTTAAGACAAAAGTTCTACAAATAAATTTCAACAAACTCTAACTGCCTCTATTCCGCATGGAAGGAAACAGGCAACAGTGAGAGTCTTAGCAAAAACTGCAAAGCATCAAGAATGCATTCCTCATTATTGCATAAATACACAAAAAGTAGGAGCTCAGACAGTGAGAGCTAATTTCAATGGATAATTAACATACTGATGAGCAAACACTATGTTATATTTAAGTTGCCTAAGAAAATGCCTCAGAATAGCACTTTAAGATATAATAGTTTTGCATTAGGAATTTTATTTCCAATTTATTTTTGGTAAATTGTAGGTCCTGAATACAATACATGCTAATTATGCAAACACCTCTTGCTACTACATAAAACATTCACAGGATGTACAGTACCTTTCCCAAAAAGGCCATAGCATGTGAATTGCCAGCATTTGCTGCTAAATTGAAGTAGTCAAATGCTCTCTATAAGAAAAGAATTTATTAAAATAATTAGTTTTTAACAGAATCTGCTTTTGACTTTTCAGGCAAAATAATTAATTCAGGAACATTTAAAAAATCTTGTTAAATTACAGTGCTTTAAAAATAAGAATACCCAGTTATCAATATTTTGAAAGAGAAATCAGTACATCTAGAAATTTTATTTTACCAAATAACTGTACTATTTATCAGGAAGTCATTGCATAATTATAGATGCAAAGAAATTTCTTGTGTTGCCTAAACTTAAGGTCTAAGAAGTTTTCTGTTATGTGTGGGCAAAGTGAACATCAGCCTGCTTAAAAGACATTTAAGAGCAGCTTGACTTCTTTGGTCTATCTCTTTACTGATAACCTGGGAGAAAGGAAAAACTAAGTCATCTTTCCAAGACATGGAGCATATTTTCATTGTTCTCTAAAGGAATACAATTTCCTCATGTATTGTTTTGAGAAGAATTCTTAACCTTACTTAAAAATCACTGAAGTAAACACACTAGCATCAGCAGAAATTAATTGTCACCGCTTTAAACTGTATTGCTGCCCATTTTTGTTAAGAACCTGGTACCATTGGTTATTCCTCTTCTTTTCTTTGCTGATTTAACTTCTCCCTGTTTTGGAACCAGTTCCCCCTTAACCATATTCTGTAATCTCATTACTACAAAATAAAACCCAGCTGGTCGTGGTGGCTCTCATCTGTAATCCCTGCACTTTGGGAGGCCAAGACGGGTGGATCACTTGAAGTCAGGAGTTCGAGACCAGCCTGGCCAACATGGTGAAACCCTGTCACTACTAAAAATACAAAAATTAGCCTGACATGGTGGCATGCGCCTATAATCTCAGCTACTTGGGAGGCTGAGGCAGGAGAATCCCAGGAGGTGGAGGTTACAGTGAGCCAAGATCACACCACTGCACTCCAGCTTGGGTGACTGAGCAAGAACCTGTCTCTAAATAAATAAGTAAGTAAAATAAAATAAAAAATAAAACTCAAACCAAAACATTCAATATATATATCTCCTTTAGAGACCCTCACTTTCTCTCCAATGATGGCTGTTCTGTTAGCTACAGGCAAACTTCTCGAATAAATTGGCAACATGCACTTCAATTCACACTACAATCTAGTCTTAATTGGCTTCCATTCATTACATCAAAAAGACAGCTTGTCAAGGCCACCAATGAGCTTCATAGTGCCAATCTAAATTTTTAGTTAATCTCACTCCACCTTTCTCTGCAGCATTTGGCACAGTCCATCAAGGCTTCCTTCCTGACAGACTCAGCTTGGCTTACAAGATGTCACTCTCTCCTGGTTTCAATCCTAAATCTACCTGTACCACCTAAGTCTGCTTTGCTGGTTTTCTATCAGTTGACTTCTGAACGTTCAAGTTCTTCAGGGCTCAGTTTTGGACTCCATTCTTACTTTGCATTCTCTAAGCAATCTCACCTATTCCCATAGCTTCACATGCCATCGAGATGATGGCAACTCTTAAATTTACATTTTCAGCTTTAATCCAGTCTATTCAATTACCTCTGAACACCCTATCCCATGCCTGAACATATACCTGAAATCTTCTCTTTCTGACCTCAACTTGCTTCTCCTCCAGCAGCTCAATTTAAGCAAATGGCAATACCATCTTACTGGTTGCTTAAGGTATCTGCCCCCCTTCACTCATAGCCTATCCATCACTAAGTCCTGTGACATTTACCACCAAATACATCTTGAATCCACTACTATCTTCCATTACCACAGTTCTAGTCCAAGCCACCTTCTCCCCGAAGTTCAGGACTACTCCCGTCCCTGATCTGTCTGATTTTATTCTTGGGGTCTGCTAATTCATTTTCTATACTGCAGCCAAAGCCATTGTTTTCAAATCTGAACATGCTGATCCTTGTAGCTCCTTGAAGTGCTGCAGGGATATGCTGATGTGATCAGGCACTGCTTATCTCAGTTCCGTTTCTTCTTGATCTCTGTACTATGGGCAGACCAGCCATGTTCCTTCCCATCTCTGGGCCTCGGCACATACTGTTCTTTTTGGCCTGGAATAACCTTATCTCCAGTGTCAACTTAAAGGCTTTCCACTTCTCTTTACAGATGTCTTTCCTGGCAAGTGGTAACTCCTACCCATTAATCAATTTTTGTATCTTTTAAATCTCCTTTGTAAGAATAACCACAATTTATATTTGGTGTGATCATTTAAAAAATATCTAATGCTCCTATTAAAGTTAAAGCTCCAAAAGGTCAAAGACCAAAACTATTTTGTCCAATACTGTATCCTGAATGCCTTGCAGTGAATGGCAGATACTAAAATATTTGTTGAATTAATGCAGTTGTGTATTGGGAACTCCTTTTGTTTCTGTGAAGCTGGTGAAATAATTTATCGTTGTATAGTTCCTTTACAGGAAGGCAGCATATAACACCAAGAATATTCCCAAACTCGCTATATATAAAGTATGCAGCAAACTCTTACTCAGAATTGTTTTCTCACCTGACATTTTTATTAACCAGCTTAGCTGACGCCTCTCTGGCCTAATGATATACATTTTAATGACCTAGAGACAATAAAGGCTGTCAAAAGTCATCTGAATTAAAAAAAAAAAACAAACCCTATCTATATATTTGGTATAATTTTAGTGATAAATGTATCTTGTTACAGTCTAACAAAGTTGATGGAATATGGTATACGAAATAATCTTAATTAGAATATTTTAAATGGGATGGTAGAAAAACAGTTTTATTACTCTGACAAACATTTACTGAGAACTTACTATGTGCTAGGCATTGCCAGGGGCTAGGAGTAAAGTGGCAAACAAGGCAGACATCGTCTATGCCCTTTTGGACGTTAGGTTGTAACAGGGAAACAATTTAATTACGCAATTAATTAATTTAAAAATGACAAGGACCAAAAGGAATACAATTGTTAGAAATCCTAACCGTGGTCCGTGACCTATTCCTGGAGTGGGGTTGAGGATCTGGGGAGACATATTCCAGGTTGGAGTTGAGTTCTGGAGGATGAACAGAAACGAGCACTATGAAGAAAGTAGGTGGGGGCATATTCTTTCTGGAGGGAGGGACTTGCATTACCGAAGTCCTGAGACAGGTTTCTGGTATGTTAAAGCCCTTAGAAAAACAGCTGCCTGAAACTCAGAGAGCAGGGGGCTGGTGAGGTAATCGGAGACTGGTACAAGGCCTGAAGGGCATGGTAAAAATTCTGGTCTTTAAGCTACTGGAATCATAGACCATTTAACAGTTTTATGAAAGAGAACCACATATAGTCAGATGTATGGTTTACAGAGAGGAGATGTCGCTTAGGAAATGTGATGGCAGATGATTCACATACTGACAGGTACACTAATGAAAGAAGGAAAGAGATGAATGATCTTTTTTTTCTTTTCTTTTTTTGTCTCCACACAACACTCACGTAGAAGTGAGTGATCTTTACAACAAAACTTGGTGACTGGATAAAGATCCGACTGCTGTACTTGTACACTCCTGATTTCTCACGAACAACATAAACATTTTCACAGTTGTATAAAATATTTTGTAATAGGTGTTTTATGACATATTTTATCACATACTTATAGAAAACCAAAACTTTATGTGTATTTTTGAGGTAGTATTGAGAACTAGGTTTGGGAATCAGTAAAATCTTTCCTACCATTCTGAGGTATATTCACATTTTCATTCTTCAGCTTTCTTCGGGGTTGGTTAGATCTTGAAAGCTCATTTGTGATGGGTGTTTAAACGACACAAGTTTGATATTGACAATGACTTAGCAAGAAATACATTGGGAATATCATTTCCTGCTATAACTGAAGTGCAAAGCCCTAGGAACAGGGTAGTTACCTGATGATTCTGTTCTACTCCACGTCCACCGTGCAGATGCAGTTGTCCCAGACCAACCTGAAAACGATTCCAAACAAGGCAAAAGTAAGTGGTAGCATCTGGCACATAATTAAAATCAGACCAACAACAAATGATTTGGTCATAAAATGGTTTCTGTTTGTGACTCAAAAAACTAAAGATTCAGTCTTAACTTCTGAAAATATTATTCTACATTAATTGCCCTTAAAATTTTGAAAAGTAAAAACATATGCTTTTAATTGCAAAGTACTATTTGTGGTCAGGTGCAGTGGCTCATGCCTGTAACCTCAGCACTTTGGGAGGTCAAGGCAGGCGAATCACTTGAACCCAGGAGTTCAAGACCAATCTGGGCAACACCACAAAATCTTGTCTCTATAAAAAAACAGAAAAATTAGCCAGGCATGGTAGCACATGCCTGTAGTCCCCACTGCTTGAGAGGCTGAGGTGGGAGGATCACCTGAGCCTGGAGAGGTCGAGGCTGCAGTAAGCTTTGATTGCACTGCTGTACTCCAACCTGGGAGACAGAGTGAGTAAAAAACAAAAAACAGGCGGGGCACAATGGCTCACGCCTGGAATCCCAGCACTTTGGGAGGCTGAGGTGGATCATCTGAGGTCAGGTGTTCAAGACCAGCCTGGCCAACATGGTGAAACCCTGCTACTAAAAAGACAAAAACTAGCTGGGTGTGGTGGTGGGCACCTGTAATTCCAGATACTCAGGAGGCTGAGGCAGGAGAATTGCTTGAACCCAGGAGGCAGAGGTTATGGTGAGCGGAGATCATGCCACTGTACTCTATCCTAGGTGACAGAGCAAGACTTCGTCTCAAAAAAACGAACGAACAAACAAAATAAAAACAGAAAGTATCCTTCTAAAGCAGAGGTCAAATAAAGGCATTTTCACATAAATTAAAACTGAATTTGTTTCCAGTGAACCTGTTATAAAGGACATACAAATGGGTGCTCTTCAGAAAGAAGCAAAATTACTAGAAGCTGGGAGATACAATAATAAAGAACTGGCTGGGTACGGTGGCTGTAATTACGCCTGTAATCCCAGTACTTTGGGAGGCTGAGGCGGGTGGGATCACTCAGGCCAGTTCAAGACCAGCCCGGCCAACATGGTGAAACTCCCATCTCTACTAAAAACACAAAAATTAGCTGGGCGTGGTGGCACATGCCTGCATTCCCAGCTACCTGAGGAGGTTAAGGCAAGAGAATCGCTTGAACCCAGGAGGCGGAGGTTGTAGTTAGCTGAGATAGTGACACTAGGCAACAGAGCAAGACTCTGTCTCAAAAAAAAAAAAATGAGATAACATAATAAAGAGTAATGAAAAGGTAAATTTGTAAATAAATGTAAATTAATATGGGCTGTACAAAACAATAGTATCTCATGGTATCAAAATATATAACTTACAGATATAAGTGCTTGCTCCCTTCCCCAACAGATTAAAATATAAATGCAGTAAAGGTATTCGGTGAGCTGTTTAAACACATACCTGTGCTTGTACATCACCCTTTTCAGCTAGGAACTGGTAATATTGAATCAAATCTTCTTCTAGCATTCCACTGTTCATTCCTGGATTTTCCACTTCATCAGGCAACCGTATTCTCTGTACTACTGAGCCTCCTGTTAGCGAGATATCACTGGCAACTGAAACAGAGGGATAAAATAATAACATGGAGGAAAATCAGAAGGATTGTTCCAGAGAGTTCCAGAGACAGAGAAGTACAATTCTAGCTGCCAAACGTTTACAAACACAATGTTAAAGGAAACTGCTTTTAGAGTAGTCTATAGAGCTCACAAATCAGTAATCTATTAATAAACGGAACTTTTTCAAAACATATTTAAATAGAACTCAAAGCAAAATTAAATAAAGAAAAAAGTACATCTGAACCTTAACTAAACATGAGTCCACATAAAAGAGCCATTTATAATACTTCAAACAGAACAATAAAAATAGGTATGTTTAAAGTTAAGTCCATTTATTTATCTTCCCTAAAGGGTAAAAGGGGGAAACACAGATACCGTGATTGGCAACAAGACGATAGTGAGTCAGTGCAGATTCACAACTCTGGAGGACTCCGATGCCAGCCCAGTATCTGTAACCCTGTAAAACAACTTCATGTGAGGAGACAGCAGTTTCACGTACTTCAATGGCATTCTTTGTGGAACAAATAAAGCTAAGCCTGCTCAGAATTTTGCTGTCATGTGACCCAAGTACACTAACACCTTATTTATGCTAAGTTTTAGGTTTTGAGGTAATTTATTCAGTAACTTCAACAAGCAGGCCATAGCTAAGAACAAGGAAATAAATAATATAGTTCCTAGAGCAATCAAAATAGATGTCATAAACTTTGTTTTTGATGTGTGTGCATTTTACACATAAGAGAAAAATTGTAAGGGCTTTCACTTAGAACCAGTTTTAATCTTAGACACAATTTTGTAACAAAAATAGTTAATCTTCCAAATTAGCAAAGAAAAAGTAACAAAGTGGCAAAATAGGGAAAATGAGACTACTAGAAGCAGGCACAATGTCACTAGCAATAACTGACAGAATAAATGAGAACACAGCTAATCATGAAGAGCAGAAAATGCAAAGTAGAGTTCTCTGGAGTCATTCTGCATAAATAACTTCATGAACTTTTAACAATCCTTAGGGCATTGTTGCGAAATAATGTGTAATATTTCATGTTCTTATTCCGTAGCCACTATATACAAAATTTTGAAAACTAAAAAGTTTTTTTTAAAATTTATGATCATCTAATCTAAAAAATGATTCTGACAAATAATTCCAACTCAGAGAAAATTTAAAAACAGCCATTTATCAGATCTCTCTTTTTAAGGGCAATCAGCCAAACTAATAATTTTAAAGAAAAACTGTGGACTCCGCCAATTTTCATTTACATGTAGATTCCATCTGTTATATCCATTAACAAGAATTTGAAGGAAGTTCAACTGAATATTTGGTCTTAATCAATACAAGCAAATCTTGATTAGTAAAGCTGAACAAGCTGTGGCCACTGTAAACCACAAATTCCCTGATACTTAATGTTACTAGCCTTCCACTAAAGTCTACTTACCAAAACCATGTGGGCTATTAAATTGCCCCCAAGAGCTCCAAATGTATAATATACAAGAGCCTGTGAAAGAACAACAAATGTTTAACTGGACATAGGCACACATTTATTCAATTCAATTGTAATATGCAATAAAGTTTAATAGTATTACCTTTGCCTGACTTGAATTAACACCAAGTCCAGAGGCATAGAGAAAGCCAAGAGCCTGAAATAATAAAAGTAAGAAATCTTCCTTTGGTCAAGGTTTATCTAAGACAGACACAGTTTTACATACTAGGAAAAAATGCAAGAATCTTTAAATTCTAAAAGATTTGAATTTGTATGTACAAATGTGGAATTAAAGAGCCTTAGAAAAGCATTCAGGGTTGTACACATTATACGATTAAATGTAACTTTTATTTTTTTTAATTTTTGATTTTATTTATTTATTTATTTATTTATTTTTGAGACAGGGTCTCACTCTGTCACCAGGCTGGAGTGCAATGGTGTGATCTTGACTCACTGCAACCTCTGCCTCCTGGGCTCATGCGATTCTCGCACCTCAGCCTCCTGAGTAGCTGGGACTAAGTAGAGGCGCATGCCACTACGCATGGCTAGTTTTTATTATTTTTTGGTAGAGAAGGAGTTTCACCATGTGGCCAGGCTGGTCTCGAACTATTGACCTTAAGTGATCCACCCTCCTCAGCCTCCCAAACTGCTGGGATTACAGGTATGAGCCACTGCACCCACCGCAATTAAATGTAACTTAAGACAACAAGTTTAGCTTGAAGACAAATTAATATTAACTAGAAAGACAAAGCTGAATATATGTAAACATGACTTTTACTTCATTGTTATGAACAGCCATTATGAAGACAACTCCTATTATTGGTACATCAGCATATTTCTCTACACAGAGAGGGATACACTATGAAAACGGACAAGAGATGAATTACCAAGATAAACTATCCCACATATAAAAAGAGGCAGCAAGGAGTCAAGTTGAAGGGGTCGGGGAGAAAGGCTGCTCTACAATGTTAGCGCACAAATGGTTTTCTAAAAATTAAAAAAAAAAATGTAACAAACAATGCATTGGTGAAGTTCAACCTTTTCAACACTTTGCTTTCTGTGGATCATCCTTGATGGCAGGAAAGTACAAGCTAATGTGACAAAGGCAAGCGTGGCAGAGACTGAAGTGCTCACTGGAATCACGAGCTCCTCTACATTTCCCAGCCTCTTGGCAGAATCACATGCCTGGGATATGGCTGTCAGGGATGTAAGCCTGAAAACATCCTAATGAATCCTGAGGCTCTTTTCTCACTTCATCATGGCTTGGAAGCTCCATGTAGCAGTCAGTGTAGCTACATAACAGAAGCAGCCCACGACCAGGAGTCACTATTCAGAAAAGAGTGGCGCAAACAGGAGAGCTTCATCAAATCTAGTATGAGCAAGAAAACTCTCTGTAGTGTTAAGCCACTGTGATTTCAGGCTTTGTTGCATCAACTAGAATTAATTTTCATGGAGAGAGTGCTTTGCAACATATAAAGCGCTGTGGCTTTGTAAGGTTCTAATATTAAATGGAACTGATGCCTTAAAAAGTAAAAACGTTCTTCAGAGCGGAATGCCTCTGAAAATAAAGAATATATATGTTAATTTTATATAAACTGATTCATGCAAAGAAGGGAAAGAGCTTTGAAAACAAAGGGGAACAATTAAGATATAATCTGTTTATAATAAAATACCGAGGAAAGAGCTGCAGAATCGTTAGGTATTCAGTTCTAAGAAAATAACTGTTATGACTCCTGTTATTGTCTGAACAGTTTGAAAACAGACTTTCCTTGTGATTAGATATTTTGTTTATCTTTAAGCAAGTCTCACAGCTTGAATAAACTTGAATTATTGAAGGAATTTTAAATAAATATGATGGCCCTCTAAATTCAGTTGTCAGTCTTAGGATTATTAATGGGGAAACAACCAGATATGTTATCAACTGATGTGATACAATGTAGAGTACGGAACATCCCTTGTAATGTAGTCTAGCCAAAAATATTTCACTTGAGTTCATCGGCCTTTAGCTGTGACTTCCTATTGACAGGAAATACAGGTGATGAAGAAACAAACTAAAAGCCACCATGAAAAAACAAACAGAGGTAGGATATTCTGCAGAAAAACTGTCCCTATGTCTAATACAGACAAAAAAGGCATTGGGCTATACCAGATAACCAAATGTAGGATATATTCCTGGACTGAATACTGCTTTGGACAAAACAGGTATAAAGAAAATTTTGGGGTTCAACATCATATGAACATAGTGTGGGTATTATATGACTTAAAATTTGCTGGGATGAAAAGGTGAAGTTCTAGAACAATAGAGAGTGGTATCTCATTTTAATAAAAATATCATGTATATATACACAAAGAGAAAGATCTGTTATAGAAGGATATGTATATACTAGCTTCTGTAATAAAATAGTTTTAAAAAAAAAAACACCAAAATTAACATGAGCTGCAACATCTGAACTTTAAAAACATGCAATGGTGAGTAATTTCAGATAAAAAATAATTATCTTCATATTTCATTCTATACAGACTAAATTTGGAAAAGTACAAATGTAATTGTGGCAAGACACAATTGCAAAAATGTGTTCACTGATCATAAATGTTCCCAGACTAAGGAAAAAAGACTATCCAAGAAGACTGGTAAAATGGTCAGGCACAAAACTGGTATTTAAAAATACTTTATCTTCCAGTCTGACTTTTTAAAAGAAGTCAGGACATAGAGAGTAAACTGCTTTTAAAAACAAGTGCTACATGCAGAGAGATTCTTCACTGAGAATATACTTACAGTCTGTCCCTTGGGAGAACCTTCCTCAGTCAGCTTCTCAAACATCTCTCTTGCTGCCTGGATATTCTGTGGCAAGTAATCACCAAATAAAAGAGCATATGACACTCTCTCCAGGGCTTTGGTATGGTTCATGCCTGCTGCCTTTTGAAGATACCGATATGCTCTTTAAATGTAAACAATTAAACATCAAATTAGTAATGTTCTGAAACTGCCAGGAAGGTTTTTTGATCTAATAAAATGCAGTACAAATAATTTCCTTATGTTACAAAACCCCTCTGATCATCTTTACTTTTTTTGGAGACACAGTTTCGCTCTTGTTGACCCAGATGGAGTGCAATGGCACAATCTCGGTTCACTGCAACCTCTACCTCCTGGGTTCAAGCAATTCTCCTGCCTCAGCCTCCCAAGTAGCTGGGATTACAGGCATGCAACACCACGCCTAATTCTGCATTTTCAGTAGAGACAGGGTTTCACCATGTTAGTCAGGCTGGTCTCAAACTCCTGGCCTCAGCTGATCCACTCATCTTGGTCTCCCAAAGTGCTAGGATTACAGGCGTGAGCCACTGCACCTAGCCACCCCTCTGATATCATTTCTATTTAGTCATGTTACTTACATACGTAGATAACATCCTGATTTTATTTTTATTTATGTTTTTGAGAAAGGGTCTTCCTCTGTTGCCCAGGCTGGAGTGCAGTGGTGTGATCACCGCTCACTGTAGCCTCTCTACCTCCAAGCTCAAGTGATCATCCCACCTCAGCCTCCCAAGTAGCTGGGACCAGAGGTGGAGGCTGGTACCATCATGCCAGGCTAATTTTTTAAGTTTTCTGTAGAGACGGGGTTGCACTATATTGCCCAGATTGGCAGGCTATTTTGTTTTTCATATAAGGTACCAGTTCTCCCTGTTATCCTCATATCTTGGAATAGTCTAATTATACTAATACTAACTCTAAAAACTTTCATTAAAAAAAGTTAACCAGATTTGCAATAAGAGAATTACAATGTGATGGTGTACAGTATATGATTTAATAATAACTGTTGCAATTTTCTTTTTAAATTTTTGCAGGCTATAAAAATGTCAGCTGAAATTAAAAGGACGTAAGATGTTACAAGATAATCACTTGTTATGTTTTTTTCCAAGCACAAATTTCTAAATTCTAGTCAAAAATTACAAAGCAGTAACAAGAAACATACTTGACAATTTTTTGTTTTATATCATTTTGAATTCTAAATAGTATATAGACTCTAGATTCTTAGAAACTACTACAACTTGAGTCAATCATTGCCAATTGACTCATTGTTTGTTACTGTAATCAGTATGTGTAACAATTTTACTTTAATAAATCAAGTGTGGTAAAAGCAATGCTACTAATGCCCGTAAGTCATGTTACGTTTTCTTGTAATGGAACTTGAAAAAATCTTCTGTGTCTCTGGCAATCCATTTTTTAAAAAATGTAGTTGCTATGTGTCTCAGTAATGGCCTGTCTTGGGGGAAAAGTGGACTTAGCAGTGCTACCTACTCTCTTTTTTGGCTTTTCTTATTGCTTCCATTGAGGATTTTCATTCCAGTCTGATACATCATTTCTGCTTCCTGCATCTGCCGTCTCTTAGCAGCCTCTTCTTCAGCTAAAAACAAAATGTCAGATGCATTTAAATGGATTTTAATTCTATACCAATTATCAACCATCAGTATTTATTCTTTCTTTTGGGCAGTCATACAAACATAATGAATGATCTTCCACTATTCTCAAATATGATTCTAAAAACACTTAAATGTGGCCTTTACATGACACAAGATAAAACTCAAAACAAAAAATATATATGTAATTCATGGAAATCATTTTCTTATAGAAATACCAATACCAAAGCCACTCTTAGAAGGTAGTTTTGTTAGTAATGCTAACTTTTAAAATATAATTCAACTAAAATTTCAGATTATGTGCAATATGGTTTGGATCAACGTCCCACCAAATCTCATGTTGAATTGTAATCCCCAGTGTTGGAGGTAGGGCCAGGTGAGAGGTGACTGGATTATAGGGGTGGTTTCTCATGAATGGTTTAGCACTATTCCCTTGGTCCTGTTCCCGTGAGAGTAAGTTCTCAAGAGATCTGGTCATTTAAAAGTGTGGCACCTTGTTCCTCACTATCTCACTCACTCCTGCTCCCCCCATATGAGACAGCTGCATCTCACATGGTAAGTTTCCAGAGGCCTCCCCAGAAGCCAAGCAGATGCCAGCAACATGCTTCCTGGTCAGGAAGATGCTTCTGTTTCTATAAATACTGGCTCTAATGAAATATGTATCTTTTGATGAGTTCTTACAGTAGCAAAATAACTTTTGAAAAGTCTGTAATAGTCAGCATCTTTATAATGACATTTATACTAAAGATGTTAAATAGACTATATTTGTCAAATGTTACCTTGGTATACCATATTTCACTCTAAGTATTTTTGAAAAGTTATTTTTCTTCTAACTACTATTAACCTTCTCCATAATGGCCCAGTTTCCTTTACTGCCAAAAAAAAAAAAAAGTTTTAAGTTAATTAATTTACCAACCTGCCCTGAAGGGTTTAACCAAACAACCTGTATATACCAATGGAAAACCACCTTTAAATAAAACGTGTGACTTGACAGCCTGAAAATAAATATACCACATGCTTCCCACTTTTAAATCCACTCTTCAAGGCTATATAACCACATCAGCAACGCTGACCATTTTTGACGAATGTGGAAAAAGATGGCTAGAAAAAGGCCTTAAAAACACTGCCCTAGACATATAGCAATGAGGACCTGCCTCCTCCCGAGCAATACTTACTTTCACAAAAGCCCCACTTTTCATCTGCTTTGTAGTCATAGGTTGTAGCACACCACAGTCTGCCATCTTCCCTCCCATCTGATGTACATTCATCATATTCCTTATCTAGGAAAAGAAAAGGGAAGTGGCAGGGCTCCCCATGTGCTGTGCCTTCAATGGCGGTCAAAGCTGGAATGACAAGAAATAAAAATCTAAACATGAACAACACCTCCGGTACTCACGGATTCAATACCATCAATTTTGGCTGTTAGAATTTGAAGGCAAAGAGAAATGATGCCCGATTTATAACTGGCAACATAAAAGGGCTAGCAATGATTCTGATTAGGGAGGACTTGGTTTAGTTAATTTAGTGAGCATGGCTAGCTGACTACTTAGCATCTGTATCTATGTTAAGACTTTCTGAAGTTCCTGATATATAACCTTAGAATATTAAAAGTCTACTGTAAAACTCCTGCCCAACAAGTAAGCCAAAAATAAAGCAAAATGCAAGTGAATCAATTCTACTGCTCAGCACAGCTCTCCTTTTTTCTGAATGCTCTAAGTCAGTTTCTTCAGTAATACAGAGATATACAGGGAGGCTGTCCAAGACAAAGTTAACCACTCACACACTCCTCTGCAATCCTGTTGCATTTTATCAGAGTACTTAACACATGCATGGAAGTTACGTCTTTACCATACTCTAGTTCCCACTGGACTGAGCTTGTTAAAGGTAGAGACTACATCTGCAATTTATTCTATACATTATTTCTGAGTATCTGTTAGGTGTTGAAAATTATGCTAGGTGCTAGAAATGAGGTGGATCAGAGGTCTTTGCTATGCAGAACTTACTGCCTAGCCAGGAAGAGAGACATTAAACAAATGTGTAATGGATGCTATAGAAAGGAAAGCCTTCCCTCTCAGGAACTGAGGTTTCAACTGAACCTCAAGAGTGTGCAGGAGTAACACTGAATCAAAGGCTCTGGGGTAGGGTGGGTAGAAGTACTCAAACAGACAGGTGCTAAGGTGGCAAGAGTCAAATGAGTGGCAAAGTGGACAAGAGAAGAGGCTAAAGAGGATGAGGAAGCCAGACTGGAGAAGACCTTACAAGTCTTAATAAGGAGTTTTAAACTTTTATCCTGAGAACAATGGAAACTCAATGAAAAGTTTTATGTAGGAGTGACATGCTCACATTTTATTAAAAGAGTGGAAAGCATGTAAAAAGTAGGGCTGGATGCAAGGTGACCAGTTTAAAGGTTGTAACAGTGGTCTGAGAGGCAATGTAGCCCAGAGAGGGAGAATGGAATGGAAGATGTGGATGTACTCAAGCAATGCTAAGGAGGTAGATAAGGTACTACTTTCTGGATGTGTGGATAAGAGGAAATTTGAGTGAAGGAAGACACCAGGTATTAGACTTTAGGGGTGAACACATGGTTGCCCTTACTAAGATACAGAACTCTAAAGGAGGAGTAGATTACTGGGTAGGTACTGCTACATTCAAGGTGGCTACTAAACAACAAACACACAAAAAA